AGGATACCCATAACTTCATCTCCAACAAGGTCCTGGACCAATTGGGAGTGACATTGGTGAATGCAGGGTGTTATGGAGTGATGATGGGTACAAGAAAGGTGGAGACGGGTCAGGGTATATGTAGGGGGATAGTGTTGACCATACAGGGGTTCAGGTGATAGAGGATTTTCTCCCATTGGAGTTAGAAAGAATTATGTCATCCTGGGGATGAAGTGACTGTTGACCTTGGGGGACACCATGGTCAACTAGGGAGTATTGACGATGGAGCTGATGGTGGAAGGGAGAAGGGTAGTGATTAGGGGAGATGCAGGGCTCACCAAAGCCATGATATCACTTAAAGCCAAGGTTAGGAGCATATAAGAGGTGGGGGAATGTTATCTGATGGAATTACATAGGCTGGAGGAGATCAGATTAGGGGAGGATGGGGACATTCCTCTTTCAGTACAGTCATTGTTTAAGCAGTTAGTGAGGTTTTTCAGCCGCTTCATGAGTTGCCTCCTCCGTGGGAACATAAGCATGCTATCGGCTTGAAAAAGTAGTTTCACCTCTCAGTGTTCATCCGTACAATCATCCCCAAATCCATAATGATGAGATCGAAAGATTGATTAGGGAGATGCTGGATGCCGAGATCATTCAACCCAATATCAGTCCATTTTTCAATTCAGTGTTATTGATCAAGTGCTTTGGCAGCAGTTTCCTTCGTTCCATCTTGAGGATAAGGTGACACTTTGGGAGGGGAGTGTTGTTAGACCGGTCCAGCCGTCCACATGGGACTGGCTCAGCGAACGAGGTGGAACTCTTCTGCCTCCCTGTATGTGCTGACCGAACCGCAAATCCCACGGAGCAATTTAAGAAGGATTTTTGAGGGAGTTAGGAGGGAAATTTGAATGTAAGGGCTGTTTAGAGATTTCCTTTTGGATTGTATGTATTAAATAGTTTGTTTTCATAGGGTTCTGGCATCTTAAATTTGGCTGAAATTTGAGATCTCTTAGTTTATTTGGGATCTAGCGGCGTCTAGAGATTTGGGAGGCAGATCCTCCTCTCAAATAGAGGATCAATTGCATCTTGGTATTTTATCGTTTTCCCTTTCATCAATAGTACAAATTATCTACTGTTTTGTGTGGATTTTTGGGAGAATTCTCATTGTCTTCTGAAGATTGATAGCAATTACTTGAGATCTACAAGTGTTTCCTATAAAATTGAAAGAATATTTACGCAATCAAAAGTTCAGGACTTTGGCTTTTGTTTTCGATCTTTCTTGATTGAGCGCAAGTAGCCCCGCCCGCCAGAGAGCCGAAGCCAACATTCTTGAGACATGTTTTCTGATTCCGCAAATCAATCAAGCCCCACGTAAAAAGATGCTGCCTCCCTCACCAATGAGGTCAAATATTCAAGTTTCATCTTCCTCATTCAAAGGACTAGAGTCGATATGACTTGAATTAACAAGCGAATGCTTAATCATAAGATATTTAATATTAAAGTTCATATTAGACCTTCAAAGGCTCTTTAAATGAAGTTCATATTAAAGATATAAACTCTCGTTTTCAGTATTTGCATAATAATCGATTATTGACCCTGATCCTCTATTAGCGGGCGAACAAAGTTGATAAGGTTCACATAATTGAAGATATTAAACATTTTATTCCCAATGATGCCCGTGTTGAAAATTAATCTCAATTGGAGTGGACTCTATCCTTTTAAATTCCTCCAAATTTCTATAAATACAAACATTTTTTAAATAACTACAACGTCACCTCGATGATGGCTGCGTTAAAAGCTAATATCAATCAGAGGGGTGGTTTTTCAAATTCGACTAAAGAATTTAAAGATCTATATTTATTAAGTGTATAAATATTTAAATTAAATTTAATCATCTGAACATAAAGCAAAACTCGTCCACCCTTTATAATCATTTGGCGAGGGCGATGAACTCAAGAATAACTCTAGCTCACAAAAAGCAATGTCCAGTCAAGAATATCACTCACTCTTTTTCAAATTTCATTCTTCCAGTAAGGATGTGTCATTTGTCCTCTAACTAGTGGCTTGGCTAGTGCAGCTCCACTTTAACTTTTAGCTTGGCCAGATGGCTCTACGTGGTATGATTATGACTAGTTCGCTTATTAGTGATTTGGCCAGATGATTCCACAAATAACTCATGACTTGGCCAGTCTGGCTCCACATGGTTAATGATTATGACCACGGCCCGCTAACCTAGTGGTTTGGTCGATCGACTCCACTATATTACATTTATGATTAAAGGCCCATATGTTCCGTTCCCCAATGGATATTTACCAATGAGTAATGAATTATAAGGTATAATCGATAGGGAAAAATGCTCTATTTTAGCAAATGTTGACTTGAATTCGTCCATTAGACAAACATTCAACCTAAGTCTACAAGGTCCCATTGTACAAAAGCAATCCATGACTCTCGACAAGGATCCTTCGGTCATGTTGTGTCGATTATCTCCTCCGACTAAGTAGATTAGGGACCATGACGACTCAGGATGACGGAACTACGACTTGATCGGGTTCATCATTATTCCCCCTACCATCCGCTTTAAGCGATAGGTGATAAAATTTCCAAATTTAAATTCTAAATCTACTGCTACTATAAGCTGAATACTAAGTATTTGTTTAACGACTAGCTTTAATCCAAAATATTTTATGATTATCGAGATATGTAATTAACTATAGGGGCTTGCATCCATAGGAAACTAGAGCTCAAATCTCAAAATCCTCGTTAAGAGGGAGAAATCTCTGGGTAGTATCTTATCTTTATTAGGGGTGTCAAAAATTGATCTGACCCGAATCCCCATCCGAAAACATTTGGGTTCGGGGCAACCCGTTTGTGAAACTAGTCGGGTCCGGGTTCGAATTTCTGACCTGTTTGAAAAATGGGTCGGGTTCGGGTTGACCTGACAACCCACGGGTCGACCCTTTTAACCTGGATCCCACGTTTTTCGGGCCTCCCCCGCAGCTCGTTTGTGACACAACCGGACAACCCGCTCATTCCGACTCAACCGTCTGCCTACTCCACCGGTCCGCTTGAATCCCTGGTCAACTCCGCCTCATTCCGACTCCGCCATTCGCTGAGTTCGCCTCACTCGACTCCGCCGTCCGCTGACTTCGCATCTTCTCCTCACTTGACTCCGTTGTCCGCCAACTCTGTCTCTCCGCCTCACTTGACTCTGCCTTCCGCCGACTCCGCATCACTCGACTCTGCCGTCTGTCGACTCCGCCTCGCCCAACTTAGCAACTGTTTTCATGGGTTTGCGAGTCGGGTTGGGTCAACATGACAAATTGTGCGGGTTAGAAATCCTGACCCATTTAGCTAAATGGGTCGGGTTTGGGTCAACTCGTTTATGCCCGGGTCAAGTTGGGTTCGACCCAAACCCGATCCGTTGACCCGAATTGACACCCCTAATCTCTATCTAATCTACCTTCCAAAATTTTTCTTCAGAACTTAATTCATTAAAGCTCTCCCCAGATATAACGCGAAGAGACCGGGGCCCTAAAACTCAAATTTTCGGAGCCCACATTTAGCCTCTTTCCGTCATATGCTAAAGTTTTTGTGTCATATTGTCTGATAACTTAGATGGGTCAAAGCTCCTTGGCCTGTTTTATCCTAGTTCGAAGTTATTGAGTCACTTTATGATTGATGACTTGCGATAGGTCAAAATTTTTTGGTGTATTTACCTTGTCATTGTCTGCCGGAGATTAAAGTCCTTGGTAGATTTCTATTAATTTTCTCCATCATTGACAAACATCGAGTATGACTATAGCTAACAATTTAAGAGCTTGTTCGGGTTGCAGCTAAAACCTTTCAATCTCATGGCAATGTCTTATGAAACAACCACAGAAGTTTGAAGAGTTGGAGTGTTATCAACCCCACCGCATAAACACTGGCTTCTAGTAAATTCTTGCGTTGACTAGCCAAAGAGTGCATTGACTCACAACCCCAAGTCATCGTCTTAAGGTCAAGCCATCTCCACACCTAGAAGAGGGTTGGTTTGACCACCTCTAGTGGGTCCTCCAACACCTTTTCGTGCCACTTATCGCCACCTTCATGTTCTGCAACCTCCACCTCTAATGGCTTCCCTGACTGTTTTAGTAACCTCCTAACCTTCAATGTTGCTTTGATGGCTTCTTTTTGGACGCATTGCCTTTTCGTCCCAAAGGACTATCTAGATACCCGATCTCATTTTGTTACTAACATCGTAGTTTCATTTGCATTGTATTGATGGCTTGTTTGAGTTTAAAGAAGGGTTATCTATTGTAACTCATACATATTATTAAAAAGTCAATGGACTATTTTGGGTTTTTTTAATTATTGGGTTAAATTTTAATATAGTCTCCTGACTATTCATATATAGTCATTTTAGTCTCAAAGTAAAATGTTGTTTCAATTTTGCCCCTCTATTATACAAAATTGATCCAATATGATCTCTTTGGGATTAAATTGAGATCAATTTTGTAAAGTCGAGGGACTAAATTGAGTCCAATTTTGTAAAGTCGAGTGACTAAATTGGGATTAATTTTATATTACAATTACAATATGAGGACTATTTTGGATAATTTTATATAGTCGAGAGACTATTTTGGATCATTTTATATAGTCGAGGGACTAAATTGGAGCAACATAATACTCGGGGAGTAAATTGACCATACACAAATAGTCTTGGGACTATTTTGAGTTTTTCTATTATTAAATAAATTGTTTAAATTGAGCAAAGTCCTATGATTTTCTCTTTTTTAAAATTTTCATATAAAAATTCATGTTTCTCTTGCATGTGTATTTACTTATCTAATTGTTTATTTGGATTTTTGTTTATAGCTTCGGAGATGAATTTTTGTCTCCACCAGCTTTATTCTCGCACCCAACAAATATAATGAACATTCCTGGATGAATTTACTACTGGATGACCCAAAAATTTTCTAATCTTATGTTTTGTTTGTTTGTTTTGTGTTTACTAATTCATGATTTTGCAAATTATCTAGGATAAATTCCCGGAAGAAACTTTCAAGGTCTTGATGGATTACCATAGTGCGACAGTTACTCTTTTAGCATTACAATCTACGGTGACAGAAGATGTGAGTATTTTTTGGATCATTTGCTTGGGAGGTGCACTTTTTTTTTTTAATCAATGCGTCTCTATTTTTTTCTCCCTGTATAGAATATTGTCACTCAGCAATTTAAAAATTTTATATACTAGTGTTAGCTTTAGTGTATCTTTACGCCATGATTTGCCCTTCCTGTTTTTTTGAGTACATTAATCATTCTTTAAGTTCATTAGTTCTTTGTTTTACCCGGAACCTATATTTTGTGGGGGGGGGGGGAAGGCGGGGGGAGTTCTTTTCTGGCTTAAAAGATTTTGGCTGTCTGATTATGAGTTTTAATCAAACAAAATCTAAATGCATGGTTGCTTTCATGTTATAACCTGGTGTGATAATGAAAAATTTCTTCTTCTCTGCTATCCCCTCTTTTATTCTTTTTCTTGCATGCATGCATGTGTGTATTCTCTCTTGAGGAGAAATTCTGAGAGGGATATAATGTGATAGATAGATTTAGAGGGAGTCGTTAGGCGAGGATGTAGGAGCTTAGGCTGGGATGTCGAAGATGTGAGGTGGTATAAAGGGTCATTAGGGTTTGGGATTTCTCTCAGGTTAGCGTGAGATGTGGGGTCGAGTTGTAGTGGAAGAAGAGTTTAGGATTTAGGGTGTTTGGGGAGCAGGTAGTGGCATTGCCGAGATAGTATATCATGTGAAGGGACGAGGGTGTTTGCAGGTTTTAGGCATTGAAGGGAGAGGTGGTTGCTAATGATTAAGCAAAAGCTCAAATAAAGTGTGGAGATAGGAGAAGAAATAAGTTTAAGATTGCTAGGCAACAAGGGAGGTGGTGGGAGTAAGAGGAATATAGGTAGGCTAGGTGTTGGGAGGTGGAGCAGAGTCTGAAAGTGCATGTGAAGAGGTGATGGGAGTAGAGAGAGAGAGAGAGGAGAGAGAGAGAGAGAGAGAGAGAGAGAGAGAGAGGTGGGAGAAGAGTGAGAGAGTATGTGCACGTAGACTGCGTTGTGCTTAGACTGGGTTGTGGTTAGAATGAGGTGTGATATTATTACTATTATTATTATTTTTAAACTTGGGGTTTGGGCGATCCCATCTAGTCACATAAATGCGCTTGGGAAGGAATGTGAGCAAGACAGGATAGAGTTAGCTATTTTTAATTTAGAGGTGGAAACCACCACCTTAATATATATATATATGTATGATATATATATTATTTAGGATAATATGTGTGTGTACTTTCTCCTATAAAATTTTGACTCTTTATATGTTTGTCCACCCTTCATGCAACAACTCAAGCAATATGGGTGGGGGCTTCTCGAGTTATTTTATCTTGAATTTCTTTGTAAAGTTTATTTTGAGTTTATTTTGTAAAAGGAGGAATGATGTTGGATATTTTGAATTCATATCCCTCTTAAGCTTCATCTTCCTTCCATTGTTGTTATCATATTTGATTACATTGCCATTTGAAATATATATGTAGGTCAACAAACAGATGAAAGGAAAAACAAGCATTTTTTGAGTTTTTTGTATCACTAATGTTCACTATACTTGTTCCTAAACAATTTGAGGTAGAAGTTGTCTTAACAACAATATATCTCATAAATAGAATACCTTAATGCTTATTTAACTTTCAAACTCCAAGTCAATTTCTCTTAAGTTATCAAATACTAAAATATCTCCACCATTCCTCTAAAGTGTTTTGAGCGCTCTACATGTTCACATTCATTCACAAAACTAGTTGCAAACTTAATCTTAAGGACATCAGATGCATGTTTCTTAAGGGTGATCTTGAAGAAGCATATATGAAAATTCCTCAGTCTTCGGAAATCTGAAAAGTTTGCAAACATAAAAGATCATTTTTATGGCTTAAACGGTCCACACATTTGGTTTTCACCAAAGTGGTCTAACAATATTGGTTAATACAAAATCAAGTTGATCCCAATCTTTGTTAAAAGTTGTTGTTTTGAATCTTCTGATTATTTTTGTAAATGACATTATTCTCATAAGGCACTTTGCAAATAAATGAACATAATTAAGAGAATCTTGGCCAAAGAATTCAAGATTAAATACTTGGATAATCATAAATATTTCATGATATGGAGGTGGCTCTGTCAAAAGATATAATTTCATATCTTAATGCAAATATTTCTTGGATCTCCTAAAGAAATAAGAATGTTGGGCTATAAGCATCGCTTGTGGATTTAAAAATTGGAGGTTGTTTTTAGAATTATGAAATATCTAAAGCTAACTTTGGAGAAATAATTGTTCTTCAAAAAGAACTCAGAGAAAAACTAATTTTATTGATGTAGACTATGATGCTTCCGATTTGAAGTTTGTTTAGGTGCTCCAATTTATATAATACGTGGTGTTTTATATTGTTTATTTAATTATTTTTGTTTTTATGCTGTTTAGATACTATGTTTAGATACTATTTAAATATTGTTTATACCAGTTTATGTATTGCTTATTTGGTTCATATTATTTATATGTTGTTTAAATACTTCTTGAATACTTTTTGCACTGGTTTAAATAGTTTGAAGTTATAAGGGTTTAAATACTGTTTATCTCAAATGCTTCTAGTTTAACTGTACTTAGCTGCAGGCTATTTAGTTCCACATCAATTGGGAGTGTAATGTAATACTCTTTATATAGTTTGAAGGACAAAAGTGATGTGAAACTAAATGCGATAGATAAGAATTGTAATTAAGATATTAATAGAAGTGGTAAACTTTGCTTTACTACCAATAAACTCTTGTTTGCTCAAATGAAAGTTTAAAAAGATGACATGAGTGATTAAGCAATAGCAATAGGTTACACTTTGAGATTAGTAGGACTTGCAAAATAACAACCAATGATTAATAGGTAATGCAAATAGCAAATATAACAAAAGCTTCAAGTTTAAAATCTAGATCTCTCACCTAGAGATCCTTCACTCAACTCTTGAAAGTGGAGGCTAGCGGAGGAGGATTGCAAGCACACTTAAGGATGCCACTATCACACAAGTGATGCCGAGAGGACTAGTCGCCAGGGAAGAAGCCGGAGTAGGGGAAGTGCGCGGTCGTCCGATAAGAGTCCACGGAGTTCTTGGTCGTTGAAGCTTGATGGTCCCGACGAGACAATAGACTATATGATTGACGTAACGTTCCACGGCGACGTCATACTCCCAATCCGGCTCGTAGAAGGGGGAGATGAAGATGTCGATCTCCCCTTGTTCGTTGCAAGCGAAGCCGTGATCAACTTCTGGATCCGCCATGCATCCTTGTCGGGAGATGAAGGAACACCAATGGAAAGAAGAGGGAGAGGAGGTGGTGGCTTGGAAGGGGGAGGGTGTTGGGCCGACTTGAGGAATTAGAGGGGATCGGCTAGGGTGGGAGGTAATTGGAAATCGTTTGAATTTCAAATTTGAATTAAAATTCAGTTATGAAGCTTGCCTAAAATCTTGGACTCAATTTTAGGAAAGTCATCAATGCCTCTTGGAAAATTTGAATTTCAAATTTATGATCCCAAGAGGGGGCCAATAGTTAGAGGTGTGGAGAGGGGGGGAATGGGGGAGGGAGGCCGGCAGCTGGGGGTTGATGGGCGGTGGCCGGTGGCTTAGGCGGCCCAAGGAGGCCGGCGGCAAGGGAGGGTATTGGGGAGGGGAAAACAAATGCAAGGAGAAATAAGAGAAAAAAATTGGAAAATCTAGGGAGTTACAAACCTCAAGTATCTCCTCCTCAAGAACTCACAAAGAGATCTTGGGAATCTCAGAACTCACAAAGAGATCATTCTCCTCTCATGAACTCACTAAGAGATCAAACAAGTAGAATAAACTTTCATTAACAATTCATCATCTCAATACATTGCATGAGACCTCCTTTAAATAGGCCAAAGATAAAATAAAACTAAAATGACACAAATGCCCTCAGGGCTACATAAGTGACTCAATGCCCACATGGGCAAACTAGGAAAAATAAAAAAACAAGCATAAATAAAATACAAGTAAATCAGAAATAAAGGCTCTGGATCGTAGCCATCGATCTGCGTCTCCGGCGATAGTACACGTGTCGAAATCTGATGCCCTCATCAAAAAGCCTAGCCACTGAGTGTAGTTGTGTGAGCTTACTTGAATAAACTCTCAAAATGTTTTAATAATTTTTTTTCAATGATTTAATAAGTCTAAAGTGAAATTTTTATTAAATTAAAATTTCATTTTTTAAGCTTAATGAGCTCAGTGTGATAAGCAAAAGTAAGCATGTCGATAAGCAATCAAGCTATTTGTTTAAAAGCTTGAGCTGAACTCAAACCAAACTCAAACAATAATGATTTTAAATGGATCGAGCTTGAACATTATATTAAAAATTGGAATTGAGCTCGAGCCAAGCTTAAACAAATTTTTGGTAAACGAGTTCAAGTTCTAATAGCTTCTGCTCTACTTGTTGCATTTGCTGATTTGCTCTATTTTTCCTAGACATGACCGGAAAGTGACAAAAAAACAGGAATAATTTAAAGTCAACCTTTGAGTCGGATTGTAATGAATTTGAATCTCTCTGGGCCAATTTCAACTAAATTTAAATTCGTGGTTTGTTCGAACTTGACTTGCTATTAGGTTCAAACACAGTATGTGTTTATGCACTTTTATGACATTACATATCAATATTTGAATTTTACCTATTGATACTCTTTCATTTTATTTAATTTATCATTAGCTGACATATTTTACTAATCTTCTGACATAGGAAGAAGATTGCAAAGCGGACAGGATTTTAAGCAAAAAGGAGTATCTAGAGAGCAAAATGCCTGAACTCAAGGGATTGGTTCTGAAATCCACGAATTCTGGGGCACAGAGTGTGGCTTCAGAAATGCATGCGTCCCATTAACAAGTTTTGTTTTAAAGTTATTCATTAAAGGAAGTTCCAAACACATAGCAAAGCTTACCGTTAATTTATATGTTACTTCACATGCATTGTAGATTAGTAATCTATATATTTATGTATATATATGGACTATATTTCTTTCAGTTGTCTCCAGCTATGGTTTTGGAACACTTGTTTTGTTCCAATTGCCTAGTCTTATTTGGATAGTATTATGATCCTAGTTTACCCTGTAATCTAATTTGGGAATGAGGGTGTTAGGCTGGCCAAAGAGGGGCCGGCTGTCCTTATTGAACCGGTCTAGGGACTAGTTTTATACTACAGCCGCTGGCTCAAGGAAGGGAGAGAAGGGGCAGGCTGCTCTTATGGGTCCACACTTTGATTAATAATTACTTTGATGGGAAATATTTGAATGAGGGGATGTTTAGAGATTTTGTATTTCTTCTTTGGCTTTAATTAATTGCTAGCGGTAGAAATAGGGTTTCATCTTGAGTTTGGAATCAAATTAGAGATTTAGGGTTTGTTCCTTTGGGCTCTAGGCTTGACTAGAGATTGAGAGAGTTGTTTCTTCCTCTCGAATTGAAGAAACTTGTAACGTTTATTGTTTTTCTTGTTCGTGGATTGGATAGAAGAAGTTTGCTTGTGTGTCTCTCTCCATTTTCTTGAAAATTCTGCATCAAAGTGCTGATTTCCTTCTGAAATCAGTAGTTTTCTCGCTGTTTTTCACCAATTACTGTTAGGTTTGCTCGCGAATTCTAGTATTCACTTAGGGTTACTTGTGAACTCAAGTGTTTCCTACCCGAGGGACTGTTAAAATAGGGCTTAGCTATCCTATGAGGTATTTTTGTACTGCATTGAATGGCCTATCCATCATGGTATTGTCTATTTTGGTGGACTAAGGGTATGCAAATGCTAATAGTTGTAATTAGTAATTTGGATTAGTTTAAGAGTTATTAAGTAGTTAATAGATAGTGATGGGTTGAATGCATAAATGTAATGAGTTAGCATTTATTGCTGACAAATATGCCTAACCACATCAACCCATCACTCCCCATTAAGATTTCTCCAAGCACCAACCAAATAGGATCATATAGAGTTTATCAAAGTCGAGTGATTATGTTGTTATAAGTTTGAGATATAATTGTCAGCCTTATGGGTAAGCTATGTGGCTAAAAGTAAAGATCTCACTTCTGAACAACTTATTTAATTGTGCACTGTATGAAAGCTATTTTAATATCAATATTCTTTATGTTCTTTTAACCATCTAGATAATTCTCGGTCAAACTTGTGCTCGTGGTAATTTCCTTAAATTTCCCCGCATAGAAAATTCACCAAACTAAAATCAAATTAAAAATTTCTAAAATTTATGTTCTTACCTTAAATATTGAATGCAATGGGATAACAATAATTTTTCCTAAGAGAAGTTGATGGATTAAGGTTTTTGTTTGGGATGTTTTTTTGTTTTTTTGCTTTTTAAAGTAGTTTTTTAATATAAAAAATTAAATTGTTTATTAAAAAATTGCTTTAAAAAGTAGAAAAAAATTTATACCAAAATGAATCCTAAGGCCCCAAAGAACTTCATAATTTAGAAGAATAAATAGCCCCCTACCCCCTCCCTAAATGAAATCATATGTTTCAAACTGATTGATCACTTTCTACATCACCCCCAAGTATGTATTTTTACTCTTAGAAATATGATGCATCTCTACATTAAATAATAAGTCTAAGTATCTAAATACATTGTAAAATAAATAAAATAAATCAACATTATATAGGATTATAACAAAAATTATATTAAAATCTAAAGCTTAAAACTTATTCAAAGTCAATTTCGAACTCTTGTTCTAAAGTAATTATCAAACTCGAAACTTTTAAACGAAATTTAAACCTTATTCGAGCTTATATTCAAATGTAATTCTTCTATTCTAAGCTACATTTCAAATATAAGTTCGAATGTGAAGTTCGTACATCTTTTAAATTGCAACACGTTTGGTTCGATCAATGTTCACCTTGTATGAACTTTTGTTTGAATCTAAGGCTTTGTTTGAGATATATTTTTTTTGTTTATTATAGAAAGTTGCTTTATGAAACAGTCAGAAATTCATCCCAAAAGAAGTTATGTTCAAAATCTTTTTAAACTACATTCGAACAATATTCAAACGTGTAATATGTGATTTAAATCTTATTTAAGCCTACATCAAATATCACCATAATTCAAATGTAGGATTCTAACATAATGTTCGAATTTCATGTTCGAGTTACAGTCAAACTCATTTACTTTGTTTTCGTTTCTATTATGACCGAAGAGGGTTGACGATATTGAAATGATAGACGAATGTATTCTTTTTCCAAATGAAAAAGAGAGATTCATATTTGTCTAAATAGACACATTATAAGACATAAAGTCAAATTTCTCAATAAATATTCTTTCATAAAACATTCTAATTTTTATTTTGATCAAAAAGTGAAAAATAGATTTCAATTATATTTTTATATTAGCCAAACTATTTTTAAAACTGAATAAAAATTAATTCCACTCAATCTTGCATACTCATGTTTACAAATTAATTATAATAAAAATTATTTATTTATCTTAAACTCCCCATAAAAATTTATATTAAAATACTCTCCAAAAATTTTTAATTAAAAATCGTTTTTTAGAGTTCAACAAGAAAATAATATACTTGAAGTGGACAGAAAAAAAATATAAAAAATATTTGTTTCTCATTTTTAATTGAGAGTTAAAATAATTTGTTCATTAAATAAAAAAAATCTGAGTAATAACCAAAAATTTGCTTAAATAATGTAGATAACCTCATTTCAAGAGCAATAACCTTCTTATCAGTATAAAATTCCATTCAGTATAAAATTCCATTTTTTTTCTTTTTCTTTAAAAATCTAAGAAAATTATTTACTTTATTTCTAATTTTTTTCCCTCTTATCTTCAAAATCAACACAATTTTTTTTTTAAATAATTATTAATACAACTTATATAAATTAATGGCGCGAATTATACAATACTCCACTGCGCCGCCTAGGCGAGCGCTCTAACCGCTCTTAATCTTATTTCTTCGTTAATCAAAGCCCTAGAAAACTACCTCACGCCACGATCTTGCACTGTTCTCCTCGCGCTCGCCTTCAAAGGACCTCACCTTCGAAGCCATCGCGAGGCCTCGTGGATCCAAAACTCCGCGTCATGTCTGCCAGTGCCTCTTCACTCATGCTTTCAGAGGTACCGCGCCCTAGATTTTTCCCTTTCTTCTCTATCTTAGCCTGTAAAACTTTCGCAGTTTGTGTTAGCAATCAGAGCGACCTGCCAGTATTAAGAATGAGTTGACTTTGTTGGATGGACTGTACGATTACCTTCCACACACACACACAAGCTTTTAGGAACAAATGGTCTCCAAATTATGCATGCTTATAATCAAATTGAGTGCCTCAATGAGTGGAATCCAATGCGTCCAAGATCATCAATTATGAGATAGGTACTCAAATGCTGGAAAAACGATCTTTGATCAAAATGGCCAAATGGGTCCATCAAGAGTGTTTTTTATTCCTGCAATATTTGCCAAAATACCCCTCTCAAAAGAACTTTAGATAGGACTCTATTTCTACATGAGGGAGATTCTGGAGATGAAAGATTTGAAAAACTCTGTTACACTATCCAATAATTGCAACTACTATCACCAACATCGACCAATGTTGACTGCCTACTAACATCAAATCACATCATTTGGCATTCAGTGTCTGATTGTTATATTATTGTTGATTGGATGATGTTGTATAATCATCTCCAGCTCCATCTCCATCAATTCTTTTATGATTCTTACTAAGAAAAGCAAATAGTTTTTCTAAATAGTGTAACTCCATCTTCTTCAATAGTGTGTAAGAGTGGACTCTTATATTTTTAATTAGATAGTATACTAATGTAGTTGAGCCAGACCCTATGATTTTCCACCTTTTTGGGTTTGCCAAATAAAAAAAAATTGGCGCCTCTTACAATTTTTTTTTATATGTGTTAGACTTTTGTATAAAGCTAAGATATTTTAGTACACTCTCTATTGCCATAATTTTTTTAGCATATAACAGTACTGAAAAATAAATAAATGATCATGGTAAGGAGAATAGAAAAAAATTATATATTTTTTATCTTTAAAGTAGATAAATTTGAAAATATTGCATTGTGAGTTAGAGATGAGTTTTTGGCTAAACATAAGCTTAATTGAGAACGTTGTCATTCAATTAGATTACAAATGAATTTAGTAGCAAGTAAAATTATAATAGATATTCAATAAGATTATTAATATTAAGAAACGTGGCCCCAAAATGTAAGCAAGGTTGTCCATAGCATAAACTAGGTGGATGGATGATGGTGAGAGAGAGATGGGTGGGCCATTGACACATGACATGGGCTTGGTCTGATGAGTAATTATGGTTGGGAGTTGTGTAATCAGTCAGCCATAGTGGGTAGCTAGCCAGGGCATTAGAATTTCGGTGGGTCTTGATTGGACTTTATTATTATTATTATTTTTTTGATGTTTTAATTTTTCCCTTGATATGTGAGCTTTTTTAGCCACTTACCTTCCTATAATAAAAGTTTTTTTCTCATGTTTCTATGATTCAGGTCATTGTCTTTGTGATATAACTATTATATATGTTCTGTGTGCGAGATGTTGTCTCTTTAACTGATTGAACGATGTTGGCTTGATTATTTGATTTTACTAACAGAATTTGATTGCACTAGGCTAGCTGACTCTTTTTGGGGGTCACGTGTGTCATTTTGTCTTGGGTCATGGCCTGAGCCCTAGTGGCCCCTTTTGTTACTAAATTTGGGCTATTATAGTGCTCTATTCCAAAATCCAACTAATTCAGTGGGATTGGGAATCCTAAACGACATCTAGTATAGTTCAAGGAAACTTACAATAACATTAAAGCAAAAGACGCTGTACTTTTGTACTAATTTTTAATAGTATTTCTTGGGCCACCTTTGAGTAGCATACTGAGCCACCGAACAACTTTGTTAAAACATTGTTAGGCTTGATGAACTGTTTGTGAAGAGGTTCCTTAATGCCATTTAATGAGTGATCATTATTGAACTCCTCTCTAAGAAAAGAAGACAAGACTAGCCAATCACGAAATACATCACTCATGGAGGAACATAATCATGTGATGTTAGTAGCAATCTAAATGGCAGTATGTTGTTCAACTTCTACCCGGAAATATTGACGATCAAATCGCCAATATTTTCCCTGCTCCGAGTTGGTTCATCTTTTGATAAGGAGAAGAATTGAAGCTCTAGGACTAAAAAGAGTTGAGGGGAATACTGCCTTCAACATTAAATGGAATTGAATTGTAGGTTTTGATGATCCGCATTCAATGCTGAATGCTTTTATCTTGCCTCTTGAGGCCAGCATTAGTAGAGTTTCTGGAGAAAAGAAGATCAACACTGTTACAAGAAAATGCGAAGAAAAATGGACAGTTTCCTGATGATTTTCAAAAAAAACTTGATGAAGTTCTATTCTTGCACTATAACATCACTAAAATGTGGAGCCGCGCCATTTCATTTACAGCTTTACTATGTATTTTTGTTGCAATATTTCACTCATATCTCCATTTGGTTTATCTTCATCAGGCATTTGATGCGTTTTGTTTTCTTTTGCCTTAGCTTTTCTTGGATTTGCTGCTCCATGAGAGAACTCTAGATCTCTTTGAAGATGATCCTTCTCTCTGTGTAAGATCTAGAAATAGTTTTTTTTTTTTGCTACTTCTTTTAAAGTTACATAAATGACAGGAAAACCTTTTTCATGTTCAGGTGATTTTACACAAGCATCTACTTGAAACGCTGGCAGCCCCCATTGTGGACAAATTGATTCAAACTTTGGTAAATAGCAGATAATCTTGTAGGACTTTTTTGCATAAAGACCGGAAATTCAAGTGTAATGATTGACAGATGTTCTAAATGAAAAATAAAAGAAAGAAATAAACTATGATAGTGTGTTATTATCCCTTCGAATATTTCATATAATGGCCCAACACTGTGGTTAAGCTTTTAAATTAACTGTGTTATTCAGGTACAATCAGTCCTATCATTCATTTCATTGTATTGGAAGGTCTTCATGATTTTTGCTTCTGAATTAGGACCTCTATCAAAATAATTTAGAATTTTTTGTAGGTTATAGATAACAAACTGAAAATTGGAATCAAAATTGAAGAAGGTGAAAATTTTGATGCTGAACAATTAACATCAGCAAACCGTATCTCTTTGGTTTGAAACCATCTCTCACAAATTTATGAGTTCTGCATTTTGTTTTTGATGTTTTGAATTCAAGGGAACTAACTTTAATTAACTGTTTATGTAAAAAAACAAGGCAAAGAGCTTGCCCGATTCACTATCAGCAAAGGTTCAAGTTGTTGTTGAAGCATTAGAAGGGAAGGTTAGTGCTTGATTGGGAGAACGCTTGCATGCGTTTTTATTTTTTGCTCATTGTAATTGTTGTTGTCAACTTTTAATGCCTCCTATTATTTTCTTGGATGCGCTTCCGGAATACTTGGTGTTTTGATCCAAATACGTATCTTTCCGTGGTAATGTTGGACAGAGAGAAACTTTAATATGCCTTCTTTGTTTTCCTTTATATTTCTTCGTTCAACCTTGAGAAGCTTTCTCAATCAACACCTTTCCAGTATCCTTTACGGAAAGTTAGACGAACTTTCTCAGTCATCATCTTTCCAGTATCTTTAAGGAAAGTTAGAATTGCTCAGTTAACCGAAGCTCTTTTTTTAAAGTTACCTTCACTTGTTTATCCATTATCGTCCTGTGTTGCAAATCAGTCATTTTTTTTTCCATAAAATAATGCATGGTAAAGGCTATTATTTTGATAATAACCTCAGATAATTTTACAATTATTGGTGTAAATGAGATCCTATTTTTTTTTTTGTATTTAATTATCAAAGATTGACAGAGGGGTTTGGATCACTAAAATTCTATTTACTTGAATATTGTTATTCTCTACAGTAACATACAGTGATCGATTATAATCTATTGTTCTCAAAGAGTATATCATTATCATTAAAGGTGATTGTAGCAGTATTTGAGCATACAAGCGTCTTCATGCTTTATTCAGCAAATAATGCCTCATCTTGTTTTGGATTTTGCAAAGCTTTAATGAGTGCTTCTCGGATGCCTTAGATATAAAGAGAGCATCATAGATGCTTAGCAATGCAGTTAACTTGCAGAGATGGGCCAAGACATTATAATCCACAATTGCATTAACAGTCTTGAGTTTAGGTGGATCTTGTGGCATTGCAACCTCATTGAGTTTGAATATTCCTCTCCTGATCTTTATCTTCTTTTGTGGTGGGGAAGAATCTTCTTTACACTCCTTAGATTTGCGTCACCTCTTTAGATGCACGACCCTCAACATTAGAGTACTGAATTTGCCACATTTATAATTTCTTTTGGGCTATGAGCTACCTTTGAGCTTGGACACTTATCTTTAAGTGTTTCCTTGCTCTTATTATCACTTTCATTATCAGGAAAGTGAAGTTCTTCGTCTGAATCAGTGAAAGATATTGTTACACGATATGCTTCATGAGAAGGAATTTTCACATCAGCCATGTGGATAGTAAGAGGTGCAATGCACCCTCTTTGAGGCCTTCCACCTAGATAACCTATGGTTGGCAAATTTCCTTTAGAATACTATCTTTTTCATCTGACTCTGAGTCAAGATGTAGGCCAGCATATATTGTTCTAGCGTCGCCTAGGAGGTTATTGATATGTATCAATAGATTCAATATATCGTTGAATTTCAATCTTCTGCCTTACTGATATCTTTTTCTTTAATTTTCGAGATTTTGATGTTGACCTTGCTTTCCTCTGTGATCTTTAAAATATTTTAAGGAGTTTCTTTTTATTTGGATGGGCCCCTTCATAGCTGGAATCTTCGAAGAGAATAGTCTTGAATCAACCTCCAATCTAAAACGCATTCTTCTGACGAATGAATTTGATAGGCAACAAGACATTCATCTGGTTTTTTTTTTTTTTAAATGAAGATTTTCAATCATCTTCCTCTTCATGTGGTACTATTCCCTTATTTCTTTTGTATTTTGGCATGGCATAGAAGAGATAACATTGATTTTTTCCCTTTTGGGATAAACCAATACATTATCTGAAATGGTGAGTTCGCCATTCTAACAGCTCCTCTCAACCCATTCCTTGAATACAAAATCATCTTAAATCAGATGACGTATGATCCTGTGATATGGGCAATATAATTTGAATCATTGATCATGTCGGCTTGCTCAGGTCGATAAGATTCCAATAGTTGAAGAACGATCTTGAGTGCAGCCTGAAAATCTTTCCAGTACATTATTTCTTACAAGATTAGGGTTTGTTTATTTTTTTTAGAATAGGGGCATTTTGTCTCTTCATCATTTTTTTTTATCATCTTAGGTGGATTTGTCGATTCCGCTTCGATTTCTTATCAGAGAAAGAATTGAATGCAGTATTTACCTCATTCCTTTTTGGATCATATGTTCTGGTTTGTTTCTCATTTTCAAAGGGGTTATTGTTGTAGCTGAAACCAAAAGTTCTAGGCTTAGGCAATTTTTTTGAATTTGGTTGCCCGATCTAACAATTCTTAGATAGTGTTTATTGTAGCCATTGTCAGATAAGGAGAAATTTGATAATCAATATTTCCATTAAGAGCTCTACACCATGTTTCTCAGTGAGCTTTTACTCACACTTCATACTAAGATTTCTCCATCTTGTGATATACTTGGTGACGAACTCATCCTTTCTTCTCTTCGGTAGCAAGATCAGCAATAATCACCTTCTTGGCTGCACAACGCAGCACATGACAATCTTTTGAATAAACATTATTTTTCAATTCGGCGAATGTTTTCACTGAATTATTTGATAACTCAGCATTCATTCAAAAGTCGTACACAGTAAGATTGCTAACAAACTGGTTATAACCACAGGGCATCATTATCCCCGGTACTACGCGGGTAGCCTTGATTGAGCTAGGTGATGAAAATTTTATTATTCATTGAGTTGTTTTTTTTTTGGATCAATGTAAATATGCATGAAGTTATGTATATTTTATTATTCATAAAAAAAAAAAACTTTTTAGATAGTCCTTATGCTTCATGAATAGCTTGTGTTTGGCTTTGAT